AGCCTTCTACTAACAACCATTTAGATTCCAAGTCAGAAAATGGCTCACTAGACGGTAAATCTGCAGACAAAACTAAATTGGGAGGTGTTGCAAACACCAAAGACAGTTAAGTGCAAACAAGCACATTAAAAATGAGATTCCAGTTAGAAAAAATGCAAATATATACAGAGAAAAATAATCTGTAGCTGACAACTCAAAGTACGTGAAAGAATATCTGAAAAATCCTGGAGGGTAAAAGAAGGCAGGTGCTAAGAGGGGCTGGCTGTAAGAGTGAGCATTAGAACAGCAGGAAGGACGAGTCAATTCACCCATAAAAATACCATCAACCCCACAGGTACAGAAAAGCAAAGTCATATATGAGGAAAGAAAACTGGGAGATGGGAAACTCCCCAAGGAAGGGAAGGGGAGGAAGGAAAGGGATGGCTTGGGTTAATCCCACAAACTTGATCGGCCAACAAAACAAACACACCCAATTTCCCTCCTCTTAGATGTAACAGGGACAGATCACTGTAGTGTTTGAAAAGCACAGGTCTCGTTCCTCTATTTATCACAATGGAACAAATATTCTCTAGTGGCAACCAGCTCTTATTAGACTTGCTATTAAGACCTACTTTAGCACTTCATACCTCATAGGCCCAAAGTACTGATTGGAGACACATTTATACAGGACTTTTCTTTTGCCAGCACAGGTACCAGACATGTATTATTATCTACCTCCAAGGAACCCAAAGTACTTAGAATCTAATTCATCCATCATAACACTGTGATGTATAGTGTTCAGAGAGAAGAAATAACCACTTTACAGATACGGGAAAAGGAAAAACAGACTCCAAAAGACAAATGGGCGTAGAATAATGTATCTGTTTATTAGGCATGGGAAAAGCAAAGCTAAGGACTAAAACACCCTAATGTAAAATTTCTGTGTTGAACTACTTCATGCCAGTATTCAATATCATCAAACTATAATACCTCCTGCAGGCTAAACTTACTAAATACTTAATAGATTGAGCTACACGGTAAGATAAAAAATTTATATGTAGAAAATAATGAAAGAATTAAGAACAGCAGATTAACTAACTAATATGAGGTGCTATCCAAGAAAATTAAGTCAAATGAAAATGTTCCAAAGCAATCTTCCCTATTAAAAAAAAAAAAAGAAGAATAGGGCTTCACTGTCTCCTAGCTACTTCCTAAGTCATCTGTTCTGAAAGAAAATGTAAAATAAGAAAATAGATACAGAGAGAGGAAGACTCATTAATAGATTTCTTACTCTTTTCACAGTACATACATGACAATCTTGCCCAAATACCTCATAGTCATCATGCAGCGTAATTTCTTACTTTGTTCCTTATTAAAAATATAGTAACTATAACAAATATTACAAATGTAGAAGGTTGCTGTTGTTGTTAAGAGCCATCAAGTCGATTCCGACCCATAGCGACCCTATACAGGGTTTCCAAGGAATAGTTGGTGAGCTTGAACCAACGACCTTGCAGTTCAAATGACTTTTCAGTCTGATGCATTAGCCCACAGTGCCACACCAGGACTCCAATGCAGGAGGTAGTGAGGCTTCAAAAAATGAAAAACAAACAAATCAAAGCAAACCATTTTCTACCAATATGCCGTGGTCCTCAAACACTGACAAGAGAGTTTTTGCCTGAGCTCAGCAGTGAATTAGAGACAAACTCTGGAGTTCGTGTCCTTTCCGTTTTGTCAGATAGTTCAGTACACATAATTAGGTTCAGCTGAGGAACAGCTAGGAGGGGGAGAAGAAGTGGTCTAAGCACAAAGAAAATGACAGATTTCAACTCCTGGGCCCATTACCAAAATAGTAAGCAGTACTTGGCAAGCCTTTTAGTTCAAGGATTCTTCACATATGTGGCAATACTAGATAAATATTTCCATATGTTCATGACATAATTATGTTACAAAACAGTATTGAATAGATTCCAGTGTTGTATAGGAAAAAAAAATATGTGTGTTTACAAACAGAAAGAGAAATTGCCCAAATTTTTAACATTATATCTGCATGGTAGGATTACATATGACTGTGTTTTCTTTCAGCCTTTGGGTATTTTCCAGTTCTACATGGCATCATGTGTAAGGATATATATGTAATAAAAATATTAACAAATGGATATTCAAACTATGGAGGAAAAAAAAAAGCTTTATGGTATTTACACATTTATAAAGTCACGTGAGTCCTGGTGTGTTACAGCAGGATAAAGCACTGGACCACAAGGTCGGTTTGATCCAAAAGATCAGCGGGTCAAATCCACCAGCTGCTTCTTGGAAATCTATACAGGGTCGCTATGAGTAGGAACCAACTTGACAGTACTTAACACCACCAAAATCACAGTATATCAGAAGCAGATAAGGAAAGAAAGGAGAAAAGAGACAAAAAAGAGAAGCGGCCGTTGAACAACTCCTACTGTTCTGGTGTAGCGCTGTGGGTTAATGCACCAGACTGTAAAGCCGTTTGAACTGCGAGGTTGGTGGTTCAAGCTCACCAGCTGCTCCTTGGAAACCCTATACAGAGTCACTATGGGTCGGAATCGACTCGATGGCACTTCACAACAACTTCTGTTCTTAAAGTTCTGGATTTTATTTCTCAAAACGAGGCTGAGACAGAAAAAATGAGTAACAGTGCAAAAATCAGCCTGAACACCTTCAGGGGTTATAGATTTACTACAACACTTAATCCACTTTGGTTGCTATTTGGCCCCATATTTAAGAACAATGTAACTAATACTATTAATCCAAATGATAATTCCAACCAGGTAACAATTTCCGCAAAAGAAAAAGGAAAGGAGAAACTTCTGAATATTAATAGGGTCTGCTATTGAAACAGGGCTGTTTAAATTGGGGCTTCTTAAGAGTCCAAAATAAATTACTAGAAATCCGAGATTATAGGTAGCATAAACTTAAAATCTTTAGAATCGTGTTAAAAATTATTTTTAAAATTTAAGAAATCTAAAATTAATATATCTATCACTGTACCTCCCTTGAAACAAGGTAAGCTGTTCTGAAATAAAATTCTGTGCATCTCACACATTGTCAAAGGATCCTATGTAGAACAAAGAACTTGGGTTCTATGAAAAGCAGTGCCCAGGCTTAATTTGATTCTCTCTAATAAATTCAGGGAGTCCTGGAGTGCCACTCTGGGTTAATGCACCAGACAGCAAAGCCGCTTGAACTGCAAAGTTGGTGGTTCAAGCTCACCACCTGCTCCTTGGAAGCCCCATACAGGGTCGCTATGGGTTGGAATTGACTTGACGGCACTTAACAACAACAACAACAATAAATTCAGGGGCAGGGTAGTACCATTTTGGACATGACATCACAAATTCACTTTGAGAATCTAAAGAACATTACCGCTACTCAATTAGTCACTACGATTCCAAAGCAAATTTCTAAAAAATGAACAGTTATCCTTCCCAGATAATAATCCTTAGAAGGACAAATAAAAATTACAATCTTTCAAAATATATATTAAAGTCAGAAAAAAATGCAAAAACAAACAAACATTAGGGTCTTTATTTCATCAGTGAAGAAATATTCTTTTAAATTAGAAAGTTTCTGTTGCTGTGGCTTACTGCTATCGAAGGAGTTCTGACTCATAATGACCCTGTAGAGTTTCCAAAGAAGGAGCGTAGTGGTTAAGTGTCAGGCTGATAGCCTTAATGGTCAGTGTTTGAAACTACCAGTCGTTCTGTGGGAAAAAGATGAGGCTTTCTGCTCCTGTAAAGATTTACAGCCTTGGTAACCCTATGCAGGGTCGCTATGAGTCTGAACCGACTTCACGGTATATACCACCAGGGTTTCCAAGCAGCAGTCTAGTGCTGGTCTTAATAGCAAAGAGATATTCAAACACCAATGGCTAACAGTTTCCCTCTTTTTCATATGGAGAAAATAAACTACTTTAGAGTAAAACTAAGGAGCCCTGGTGACGCTGTGGCTGCTAACTGCAAGGTTGTCGGTTCAACCCAGCAGGATGCACCTCGGGAGAAAGACGAGGCTGTCTGCTCCTATAAAGATTGACCATCTGGGAAATCCTATATTGGATCACTAGGAATTGGGATCACCTCCATGGCAGTGGGTTTTAAGATAAAGAAAATACTCATTTAGGGTTCCTCCCAAGTCATTCCCCGCTTCACCCTCACTCTCGATTCCCACCTCAGGTGTCCCCAGGACATCACTCTTTCCTTTCTAGACGAGCCATTACAATTCATCTTGCTCAACCTTGTTATATTCCAGGTAAGAAACTAAGGCCCAGAAAGGTGAAATTATTTGCTCACTGTTATGTCCCACCCTCCAAGTGATTCTAAAGACATATATATATATATATATATATATCCTTTCTGATTTTTAAAAAAATATAAGAGACTAACTACATAGTCTAGATATCAAAAATTTTCTTTGCAATATGAAGACGCTGATAAATTTATTTTACTTCATAAGTCTGCTACATTGCCTTAGAGGTTTTGGGGTCTTTTTTTGGAAGGTAAGAATTATCCCATTCCATTATAGTTTTTTTAGTTAATACATGGTTAGCTACCTGGCTGGAAAGCAGAAGGAACTAAGATAAACTTCTGGAAAAACATTCAGGGGAAAAACTAAGTTAATTAATGTTGTTATTGTCAAGTGCCATCAAGTTGGTTCCGACTCATAGCAATCTATTGGGTTTCTGACGATTTTTAAATCTTTGCAGGACTAGTACGTTTCCTCTTTTTCCCGTAGAATGGTTGGCGAGCTCCAACTATGGAACTGGTAGCTTGTAGTGCAGTGTTTATTGTAAGGAGGCACCACAACCCCCAGTTAATAAATAACTATCTACATTTTTCCAAATGCTCACACATCTTCAAACATTGATAAAAATGGATTGGAAGAAGGGTCTAAGAGCTCCACATCTTTCTCAATTTTTAGGTTATCAAAACTAAATACTGTTAACACTGAAACAGAGTATCATTAAAAATGAAAAAGACATATCTTGCACATACTTTTCATGAATTTTCAAGACACGGTGAACTATAGGAATCTCTCTTCCTTCTATCCTAAAAACAACAATTTCTCCCACTCTTATGGGATCTTCGACTCGATTTGTTAGGAACAGAAGATCCCCTCTATGAAATGCAGGTTCCATGCTGCCACTGGAAAGAAAAGAAGAATCTAATTAGAAAACAAAAGTCTGAGATTAAAGTGACTTTCAAAACCGTTGTTGCTGTTAATTGCCTTCGAGTCCATTCTGACTCATAGCAACCGTGTTCCTAAGGGGTTTCCAAGGAGCAGCTGGTAGGTCTGAACTGCCAACGGTTAGCAGTCCAGTGCTTATCCTATAGCACAACAGGATTCCTCTTTCAAAATTACACATTCAATTAAACCATTAACAGTATCACTTATGAAGTATGAGAATACTGAATATACTCAACACCTTAAAAACTCTATCAACATAAATTTGCATAATTCTCAAAATATGTTTTCCCTAGACCCCTAAAGATTGATTTCTCCTAAAGATTTTTTTTAGTTATTAGCTTTCACTAACTAGTTTCATTTCAAGCATTACTATTCAAAGAAATTTAAGTCTTGAAAAGGGCAATGTTACTAATTCCTTAACCTTTTAAAATTTCAAATGACAAGCAGAATATAAAAGGAAAGAATGAACTTTAAAGATACTGTCCTTATTCTCACTTTATCTGAAAACACTAAACATATTCAAATATTCAAATAAGAAATACAGCATCATCTTCTGCCATTTATAAAGAGACAGACCAAGATGACCTTATGGGCTCAATCCATTACGATGGAAAACAGTTCAGCAAGTCAAAGAGTCAGCTACAGAGATAACACTTATGTTACCAACTTTGTTTTGTTTTATTTAAAAGAGAAAGAAAAACGAAAAAGAAAGACCTCAACAGAGATTTTTGCCTAATAATTTCAGAAACCGGAAAAAGCCTCAATGCCATGGAAATTAATGATGGGAAACTTCTACAGAATGTCTTCTCATATCTTATCTCTTCTATCCTACACCAAGTTCTAGAAGTATTCTAAGATATTTGTGCAAATTAATGTTCCCTTTCAATGAAGAAATGTTGTTGTTAAGTGCCATCGAGTCGGTTCCAACCCATAGCGACCCTGTACAGGGTTTCTGAGGCAGTAAATCTTTACGGGAGCAGAAAGCCTCATCTTTCTCCCTCAGAACAGCTGGTAGTTTCAAACTGCTGACGTTGCAGTTCACAGCCCAATTCATAACCACTACGCTACCAGAGCTCCTTATAGACCTTAAGTATTTTCAGAATTCAAGCTCTAGTTTTCAGTAATAATGTATTTAAAAAGAGAAAATAGATATATAAAAAATAAACTCAATACAGAAATGAAAATGTTCTGACTACTTTAGCTTGAATTCTCTGGTCCCATTAAATAAAGGAATATAGCAGTGGTTCCCAAGGTCTGCTGCACACTGGAATCACCTGGAGAACTTTTTACAAATCCCAATATCCTGGTCCTATTCCAAGTGACTGAAATCAGTACATCAGCGTGGGAGGCAAGTACCAGTATTTTGTAAAGATTCCCAGGTGGTTCTAACATGTAGAAAAATTTGGAAATTACTAGGAATATGGATTTTCACCTCTGAGGACATACACTATGGATTTTTCATCTGAGTCGGAATCAACTTGACGGCACTTAACAATAACATATAGCTTCTAATGTGCTATTTCTTAAATATAAATATGATGGTGGTACTAATCCCTGCTTACAGTTGTATTGCAGCCTAGTGACAACTTAACTCTTTATATGATATATACGTATATACCTATGTGTATATATATCTATCTATATATAAATGGAGTCCTGGTATGGCACTGCAGTATAATAGAATAAGCACTCAACCACAAGGTTGGTAGTTCAAACTCACCAGTCGCTCCTGGGAAACCTTATACAGGGTCACTATGAGTTGGAACTGACTTGAATGGCACTGAACAACACACACACACACACACACACACACACACACACATATACATACAGATATGAATATCTATAGCTATCTATCTATAGAAAATTATTGTTAATTACATAATATATGAAAAAATAGACTAAAGTTAATAGTGATGAAAATACATTATCAATTATGGGTGACAGTTACATGACTTTTATTTTCAACATTACCTACAATGAAATTACATGACCTTTTCCCTCATGATAGATGTAGTTTTTAAAAGGGCACCCCCCACAGCCCAAGCAGGAAATGACAAGGGCTTGAAGTAAAGCATGGAGGATAACTATAAAACAGCAGACTACAAGGGTGGCTTAGCCACTCTAGTGGCCAACTGGAGACAACAATGGGGAACCAAGATCTGCAACAGCTATGTATGACCCCTAGGTCTGTAACAGATGGCCATGAACACCACAGAAACAGGAGGAAAACCAGGTTTGTGGGAAAAGATTTTTGTTATGCAGAGTGTCAAGTGTTGCTCATTGTGAAGATGGTGTAGGATTGGGCAGTGTTTCATTCTCTTATGCACAGGGTTGCTATGGTGACACCTAACAACAACAATATTCAACATCCAGGGTAGAGTGAAAATAAGTCTAGCCTTCAGGAAAAAGAGTTGAGTGAGAGAGAAAGATTTAGGAATTCAGATATAAATGGCAGTTAAAAGCAGAGCAGGGGACAAGATTACATAAATGTTTCTAGTAAGAGGACCATTCAAGAAATAAACTGGGGAAACTTTTAAAAAGCTAAACAAACTCTATTACCTGATTAAACTCTATTTTTAAACTTACTTTTAATAATATACAATAATGATAAATCTTATAAGCTGCTATATAAAAAACATTTTAATATTTTCTTAAACTGACTTCAGCCCTATGAACGAAAGAAAAATATATAACCAGTTGTGAATGTTTCCTGAAATTTCAGATAATAAAATAAATATCATGAAAGTATTTATCTTTATCCACAAAAGCCTCCAGGTCTAAAAGCAGATTCCAAGTCTAAAAATGGCTTCTTGGTTGACTTGAGACTCCTGAGGCCTATTGGTTCCAGGTAAAAATTAGACTCTTTGAAGTCACACAAAACTACCCAATCACTTCTCTAGTGACTTGCTGAAGTCTTGATCAGTTCCTACTCTAACATGATCTTAATTCTTTTTATTCCAAATTGACAATGAGAACAAATTTGCAATATAAATAACCTAGCTACAAATATTCTAGATCGGCAATCAGAAAAGCTGTTGTTGTTGTTGGGTGCCATTGAGTCAGTACCGACTCATAGCGACCTTATGCACAGAAGAATGAAACACTGCCCGATCTTGGGCCAACCTCACTACTGTTGTCACGGTTGAGCCCACTGATGCTACCACTTTGCCAATACATCTCACTGGGGGTCTTCCTCTTTTTCTCTGACCCTCCATCTTACCAAACATGATATCCTTTCTCCAGCAACTGCTCCCTCCTGACAATATGTCCGAAGTATGAGAGACAAAGTTTGGCCATCTTGGCCTCCAAGGGTCACTCTGACTGCACTTCTTCCAACACAGATCTGTTGGTTCTTCTGGCAGCCCATGGCACTTTCAATATTTTCTTCCAACACCATAACTCAAAAGCATCAATTCTTCTACGGTCTTCCTTATTCACTGTCCAGCTTTCACACGCATATGAGGTTATTGAAAATACCATGGCTTGGGTCAGGCACACCTTAGTCCTCAAGCTGACATCTTTGCTCTTCAACACTTTAAAAAGGTCTTGTGCAGCAGATTTGCCTAATGTAATACGTCGCTTGATTTCTTGACTGCTGCTTCCCTGAGTGTTGATAGTTGATCCAAGAAGAATGAAGTCCTTGACAGCTTCAATCTTTTCTCCGTTGATAAGAATGTTGTTTATTGGTCCAGTGGTGAGGATTTTTGTTTTCTTTACATTTTGAGATATAATCCATACCGAAGGCTGTGCTCTTTGATCTTCATCAGTAAATGTTTTAAGTCCTCTTCACTTTCAGCAAGCAAGGCTGTATCATCTGCATATTGCAGATTGTTAATGAGTCTTCCTCCAATCCTAATGCCATGCGTTTCTTCATAGAACCCAGCTTCTTGGATGATTTGCTCAGCATACAGGTTGAATAAGTATGGTGAAAGAATATAACCTTGTCCCACACCTTTCTTCGTTTTAAACCATTCACTATTCCCATGTTCTGTTCGAACAACTGCCTCTTGGTACATGTAGATTCCTCATAAGCACAATCCAGTGTTCCAGAATACTCATACTTCTCAATGTTGTCCATAGCTTATCATGATCCACACAATCGAAAGCCTTTGCGTAGTCAACGAAGCACAGGTAAACATCTTTCTGATAGCCTCTGCTTTCAGCCAAGATCCATCGGATGTCAGCAACGATAGCCCTCGTTCCACGGCCTCTTCTGAATCCGGCTTGAACCTCTGGAAGTTCTCTGACAATGTATGATAGTAGCCATTTCTGTATTACCTTTAGCAAAACTTGACTCGCTTGAGATATCAAAGAGATTGTCCGATGATTTCCACATTTCGTTGGGTCACCTCTCTTTGGAATGGGCAAAAATACAGATATATTCCAATCACTTGGCCAGATAGTGGTCTTCCAAATTTCTTAATAATCCAGCTATGAAGAAACTTAGTAGAAACACCACCATGAAGTCCCAACTCACACCAATTTCCTAGCTGTAGCAGAAATGAACTAGTTACAAGGCCAGCAGGGTTTTGAGTACTCTAATCCCCTGTTCACTCCAAGAGCCCCAGTTATGAGGTCATCAGCTTGTCCTTAAACACCGTCACTGAAGGGAATTAACCCTTCCATAACCCTAGTAGAATTTCCAGAAGAAGCTTCCCTGGATTCTCTTTTCAGGTGTTTTCCCTGGAGTGCCAATTAGCGTGGCTTCTCCTTCCATTAGTGTTTGAACACTTCATAAATTGATGCTCTCCACTGACTTCGAGACTGGGAACTTAGGGACACATAATTATTCGAACTTGAAAGGTCCTTTCTCATTAACTAGGTCTATTATCATGTTACAGATGAAGAATCCATGGTTCAGTTAAGTGTGTGTTTTGCTCAAGGCTGTAGTTAGAGAATGAAAAAGGTAGAAACCCAAATTTCTACACTTCCATTAAGAGGTGTTCCATCTAATAAAACCCATGCATTTTTCTTTGGCTCTCTAGAGATACAGCTGTGCTTGATGAATACAAGGTAGAGCTCAGGTACAAGAAAACAGGAGTCTACTGGAGACCCAGTGCCTCCAACAGCTCACTGGAACTAGAAGTGAATCATAATATAATAATGAAATACAAATGTATAGTCCATTTTTTTTCAAAAGAAATATGCTGTTATCTATATAATGTTAGTGACTCAATTTATTTTATATTCATACTCCATTATTTCCAGAAAGGATTTCAGATGGTTTACAAAATTAAGCCCCAAATAAAACAGAACAATGATGACTTTAATAACCAAGTGGTAATTATCCAAATGAGTTACTAAATTAAGTTTTAAAATCACTAAGATATGAGTATAAGAAGGAAGTAGGGTTGAGAGAAAAAGATCAACAATATTTGTCATGTTAAGAGATGGCATTAATATCTTCAAAATTCCTGAAGTCGATTTTAGAAGGGATTTTTAAAAGGTCAGCATGAAACAGAAATAATTAGTGATGCTTCTGTACTGACACTGGCAATATGCTGCAGAAAAACACTTAATATGTGGAGATACTACAAAATCTATTCAACAAACCACTAAATATCAGGCCTAGTGGACCAAAGTGGAGAGTGTAAGAAGACAGAAGAATTTCAGGAAAATAAACAACAACGAAACACGTTCTTAAGGGATTCAAATACATCAAGTGCCAAAAATAAAGTTCACATCTAACCTCGTATAGAAAGGCCATGAACCCTTAGGAATTCTGAATGGGAAGTGCTAACCAAGTGAGAATGTCTTAGAATTTAGTAGTAGTAACTCATTTTCTTCTAGGCCCTCTTCTCAGAAACAGCAGTTTCTAAGGACCCAACGTCCCAGTCCCTGAAAATACGTCAACAGTTCAATTACTCTCCCAAGTAAGCCCCTTAACGCAGGCACCTGCATACCTTGAAAAGAAAACATTGTTACCTGAGTACCACGACAATTGGACTTTCACTTCCAGTTATTACCATTAGCCCCTTCCAAATCATTAGTGCCGAGGAGACAATCATTCCAAAATTTAGGACTTGATAATAAAGCTGTAAAGACAAAAAAAGAAGAGATCAGATCCACAACTATCCTCATTCAGGAAAGCAACTAAGAATAGTAGCTACTGAAAAGGTGCAAGGACTAATATCAGGCCAACTGGTATTCTGAGACGCTCTCTAAAATACTGTAATAACGGCACCACCCAACAGCCTAGAATGGCCCTCTCTGCTGTACCCTGCTGCGCTCTGTTTGTTAAAATAGCAGTCACACATTTGTATAATCATTTGTAATTTTTAGAACCTTTCACACAAGCTATTTCATCTGGGCCTCATAACCATCAGGCTAATTCAATCTCATCTGTGCCCCATATCAGCTTCTGGACTCTTCCAGTACTTAGATTTTCTACAAGGGGGGCTTCAAAAAGTTGCCTTGTATTGACCTGACCCTTGCTAATCACCGAATACTCAAGAACATTTAAGCCCATCCCCTCACTTTACAGTTGAGGAAACTCTCCTCTCAGGGAAAGGTTGTGACTTTGCCCATCATACTCAGGACACAAAGGCCAGCCAGCCTTGTCTCTTACTAAACAAATTCTCACTACTTCACAAATTCTCAACTTCTGGGATGTGAATGAGCTGATACAATACCAGAAGCCCTGGTGGCACAGTGGCTGGGCATTTGGCTGCCAACTGAAAGGTCTATGGTTCAAACCCACCAGTCGATCTACAGGAGACAGATGTGGCAGTCTGCTTCTGTAAAGATTTACAACCCTGGAACCGCTAGGGAGCAGTTCTACCCTGTCCTTAAAGGTCATTATGAGCTGGACTCAACAAAGACATGACTCCAAGGCAATGGCTTGGGACAATACTGAAGGAGATAGATAATGTGAGGGTACGCAGGAGGATAACTGCACACAAAGGCAAACAGCTCCAGGAATGAAAAGAACACGGGAGCAAACTGGAAAATGGTATTAAGGTGAAATTACATAGGATTTTCACTGCAGCACTGAAAATATGGACATGAAATGACAGTCTATAAACTTCAAAAGGAAACAAGATTCCACAATCTGAATACTATCAGAGGCTAAGGAACAAGTAGTACCTGCTCGGTGAGAATTTTGTGGGCAAAACGTATCCCATCCACCCACAGCCCTGATGGAGCCCCTTCAGATTTCTTTTTGTTCCCCAAATTTAAAGAATATTTAAATGGGACCACATTTAAGTCCTCTGAGGATGCCAAAACTGTGGTTTTGATGTAGTAGAAATCAGAGTGCAGAATTTTGGCGGGAAAGGTTAGAGAAATGGAAATAGTGCCTTCAGAAGTGTACAGGCTTCGATGGAAGATTTTGAGACACAAAATCTTCACTCTGACATTTTGTTTAATAAAAGTTGCTGTGATTTTGTGGCAATACTTTTCTACTTACCTTTGTATAGGCAAACCTCATTTTATTATACTTCGCAGATACTTTTTTTTTTCAAACAAAATGAAAGTTTGTAGCTACCATGAGTCAAGCAAGCCTATCTGCGCCATTTTTCCAACAGCCTGTTCATTCTGTGCCTCTGTGTCACATTTTGATTAATTCTCACAATAGTTCAAACCTTTTCATAACTCTACAGCACACATAATAGATTACAATACAGTGCAAACACCACCACTCTGCTGTCGGTTGATTGTAGTGTTGTGGTTTGTGTGTTGCTGTGATGCTGGAAACTAAGCCACCAACATTTAAAATACCAGCAGGGTCACCCGTGGTGGACAGGTTTCAGTGGAGCTTCCAGATTAGGAAGAAGAAGAGGCAGACCACTTCTGAATGGTTAGTTACTAAAAATTTTATGAATGTCAGCAGAACACTGTCTGGTACAGAGCTGGAAGATAAGCCCCTCAGGTTGGAAGGCACTCAAAATATGACTGGGGATATCATTAATGACATCGGATGGATCTTGGCTGAAAACAGAGAATATCAGAAAGATGTTTACTTGTGATTTTTGACTATGCAAAGGCATTAGAATGTGTTAATCATATAAACTATAGGTAACACTATGAAGAACGGGTATTCCAGAATATTTAATTGTGCTCCTGAGGAACTTGTACATAGACCAAGAGGCAGTTGTCTGAATATAGCAAGGGATACCGAATGGTTTAAAATCAGGAAAGATGTGTGCCATGGTTGTAGCCTTTCACCGTACTCATTCAATCCAAATGCTGAGCAAATAACCCAAGAAGATGGATTATATGAAGAAGAACATGGCATCAGAATTGGAGGAAAACTCGTTAACGACCTGCATTATTCAGATGATAAAACCTTGTTTGCTGAAAGCAAATAGGACTTGAAATACTGATGAAGATCAAAGACTACAGCCTTCAGTATGGACTGTACTTCAAAGAAAATAAAACAAAAATCCTCACACCTGGATCAATAAATAGCATTGTGATATACGGAGTGAAGACTGAAGCTGTCAAAGACTTCAATTTGCTCATAGCAGCAGCAGTCAAGAAATCAAAGGATATATTGCATCAAGCAAATTTGCTGCAAAAGACGTTAAAGTATTCAAGAACAAAGATGTCAGTCTGAGGACTCAGGTGCACCTGACCCAAGCCATGGTATTTTTAACTGCCTCATATGCATGGGAAAGTTGGATAGTGAATAAGGAAGACCGTAGAGGAACTGATGCACTTGAATTATGGTGTTGGTGAAGAATAAGTGCCTGGAGAAGGACACCATGCTTGGTAAAGTGGAGCGTCAGAGAAACAGATGAAGATCCCCAATAAAATGGATTGACACAGTGGCAAAAACAAAGGGCTCAAACCTAACAACTGTGACGATGGCTCAGGGCCGGGCACAGGGTCACTATGAGTCAGAACTGACTCAGAGGCACCTAACAACAACACAGTGCAAACATCATTTTTATATGCACAAACAAAAAAAATGTGTAACTTGCTTTATTGCAGTGGTCTGAACCTGCAATATCTCTGAGGTGTGTATGTTCATTTTTGCTATTTGTACACACACACATATAGACATTCTACAAGACAACTGTGCTTGTCTCTTCAAAAATTCAAATTCAAAGTCATGGTAGGGAGCTTCCAACAAGATGGCAGACCGAGCAGATGCACAACACAGATCCTCTACAACAAAGATAATAGACCAAATGAAATAGACACAGATAAAAATTCTGGAACCCTGAACTTCAGAGATAACATTACAGAAGTGGATTGAGTGCTTGCTGGGAGGAGCAGCTGAGCAGGGATGGTCAGAGGAAGGCTCAGATGCAGCATGACCATTGGGAACTTTGTGAGCAGCTTTGGCAACAGAAGCTGGACTGGCACAGCAGACTCACCTAAGTGAAGGAAAAGGTGTGGTTCCTGCTTTTCCCCACACTCCCCTGGTGAACAGGTGTGGCCACTCTCATCCTCACCTACCTCCAGCGCAGTCCCTGATAAGCTGGGAATTTGGAGCCCTCACGTGGTTGTGAGCCACCCCAGTGGGAGGCAGGGGTCAAGCTGCACTGCTTTGGTGCCTGGATTCAGGCAGGCTCAGCTCCAGACCTACCAGACCAGCATTAGTCTTGTAAAACCCTCTTATTACCAGCCCCCCTCCCTGCCCCCAGCTACCCTATAGTCCTAACAGACATTGAAAGAAGTCCCACCAAGGGCCTCCATGAACTGCTTCTGGAGGGAGCCCACTGTGCATGGATAACACCTAGGCCTATGGACACCATCTAGGGCCAGGAGCCCCACCCCCAGCATATCCCTTCCCACTCATCTCCTGAGCACCTTAACTAGCAGGAGCCCCTAGTGTTTGCCTCTCCGGAGCCAACAGCTGTACTGTTTTTTCCCTTTGGTTATTTTATTGTTTTTGTTTCTTCATTCTTTCTTCGCCTTCTCTTTCCATTCCCTTGAATTTTACATTTTCTATCTCTGCTTTTGTTTTTACTTCTTTTCTTCTGTATTGTATTTCCCCTCTTCTTTTTTAATCCCTTTTCATCTTTCTCCTGTCACATTTCACCTTGCTGTTCCCTGGTTTTTCTGTGTTTAATTTCTTTAATTTCTTCTCTTAGTTTCTCTTCTAGAGCTCCATTTTCCTGTCCCTTTTTTCTCTTTTTGTTATTATATTCGGTTTTCCTGATTGCTGCCTGCTTTTGTTTCTTTTTTCTTTTATTATTTTTTCTTTACATTTTTGGTTGCTTGCATGTTTAGTCTATTTTCTTTTCTTACGTGTGTGGGGGTGGGTAGGGATCTCCTCTTTCCCACTAGACAGGAGATAGCAACTGTGCCCATCTACAGCCTAGCCACAAACTGTGCAGCTCCAACCACTGAGCAAGAGTCAATACCAGCTCCTAAACCACCTGATCAATGATAGAAGCAGCCAACACCAGTCAAACCCACCCTGAACAGAGCCACACAAACACTGGAGAAAGGTGCCATTCTCTAAACTCCACTTAGACAGTTGGTGAGAGTCTAAGAACATATTAACATACAATCATCAACTAAAGGCAAATACAACAACTCCACAATGTCCCAGAGACAACAGACAACTTTAGCTCATACAAAAAAAAAACCAAACAAACCCAAGAGAGTGGCTCAAATAAATGATCAACATGCAGAGACAGAAAACGTTTCTGACAAAGAAAGATTATCGAACTAACTGAAGAATCATTCAAAAGACTGATACTTAGGAAGCTTCAAAAGACTGACTGAAAGATTGAGGAAAACAAGAACACAGAAAGAACTTTAGAAGAAATCAGGAAAACACTGTAAGAGCTGACAAAATAAATGCAAATTATGAAACCTGAAATTAGAAATCTGAAAGATTAATACTAAGATTTCAGAAATGAACAACATATGACAGGGCAAAGAAGTAGATTCAAAGCAATGGGAGCCTGAAAGAGTGAGCTTGAAGATAAATCGCTCAATACGAGTATATTAGAAAACATTCAGAGAAAATGAACCAAAGAAAGTCTGAGATTATGTGGGACACCATGAAGAGGAATCACTTACAGGTGATCAAAATTCCAGAACAGGAAGAGGCATAAAAAGCATAGAGAAAATT